AAACGGGTTGCGGGTTAATCGGGTTGCGGGTTCATCGGGTTCGGGTTCAATCGGGTTGCGGACAAACGGGTTGCGGGTTAGTCGGGTTGCGGGTTCATCGGGTTCGGGTTCATCAGGTTCGGGTTCAAACGGGTTGTGGGTTAATCGGGTTGCGGGTTCATCGGGTTCGGGTTCAATCGGGTTGCGGACAAACGGGTTGCGGGTTCATCGGGTTTTGGGTCGGGTGGGTTGCGGGCGCATCAGGTTTCGGGTTGTTCGGGCCAGCGCATCGAGTAACTTACTCATTACTCGTTACCAACTTACACATTTTATTACACTAATTTAAAATATTTTTCTCAACTTTTTAACCAATTTATTTCTACGTCGTATATATATACTTAATTTTTTTTGAAAAAAACTAGTCAAAATGTTAAATCAATTTGTATGACTTGCAAACTTGTTATGTAATTAATCATAATTGGTAAAGTACACTAGCTAATAGTAATGGTGATATCAATATTTGCAACCAAAAGACACCATTAAATGTTTATATGATATTTTAGTATTATTTCAGTAGTAATTGGATTAAAGTATCTTGTTTAGTATAACCATGCAAATATGGTATTTGGTTTGTGGTATTTGGAAAAAGCAGAGTGATAAAAGGAGTTATTTTGAAATAACTCATTGCCCAAATAACTTCAGTAAACTATTGCCAAACGAGTTATTTGTAAAATTGTTTGAATTGTCTTAAAGATTAACTATCAAATTTAGTAAAATTATTGTGACTTCAATCATAACTTACTGAATAACATATATCTTATACAGTTAGCCTTATCCTCAATCGATAATATTAAGTTAGTATATGTTGTTGATTGAATACCCTAAACCATCAATACATTAAACACTAACCACATACCCTATACCTTCTCTGCCATGTTTCGAAACATCTTCAGTGCTTGCCTCTGTTGTCTTCAACTTGTTGCTGCTGCTGTGAAGTAATTAATTGGTTTATGGCTGTTGTGAAATGTGAACTAATGAATTGGTAATTAATCGTAATTGGTAAAGTAAACTAGCTAATAGAAATGGAGATATCAACATATGCAACCAATAGACACTATTAACAAACCATATATTCAATAAATAAAATAACACTCTAAAAGCAAAGAAGAAAACCACTTTTTCCTATCTCAACATTTTTAGGGAGCAATATAGATTACCCCAAACGAAAATTGGATGACAATATAGATCAATCCAAACAAATGTAAATATGCACTTCCTCCTCTAGATATTTCCATCTTTCACGTGACGTGAGGATATATAATTTAGATTAACTTAACAAAATTTTAAATTTTACTATTGTGAGTTAATTAAAATGATAGTAATGGTTGTTAAAAAAATCAAGGAAAGCTTCCCGTAAATATTTATGGGTTGGAAAGAATTCAATTGGTATCTATTGTGATAACCGATCCGGGCCACAAAGTGAGAAGTAGTCCCACCCGTAGATGATGTTCAATCGACGACAATGATAAGAGTTTTGTTTGGACGAGGATTGGTGACGTGGATGAAATTAGCTTGGGATTGGTGATGAACTATTCCGAATTTGTTACATTGCATCTTTTCATAAATGACAAGAAGGCGCGAGTCCATTTCCATTTCCCCCCAATAACCTCCGTTGTGGACTTCTCGTGATGGAACGTGAAACTAGATAACAACATTAATAAATATTAAGCAAAGTTCGAATATATGGAAAATGGAATTGTTCGGGTTTCGGGTTGTTCGGGCCAGCGCATCAAGTAACTTAACTCATTACTCATTACCAACTTACACATTTTATTACACTAATTTAAAATATTTTCTCAACTTTTTAACCAATTTATTTCTACCTCGTATATATATACTTTATTTTTTTCAAAAAAAATAGTCAAAATTTTAAATCAATTTGTATGACTTGTAAACTTGTTATGTAATTAATCATAATTGGTTAAATATTATAGCTAATAGTAATGGTGATATCAATATTTGAAACCAAAAGACACGGTTAATTGTTTATTTGATATTTTAGCATTAATTAAGTAGTAATTGAATTAAAGTATCTCGTTTAGTATAACCATGCAAATCTGGTATTTGGCGTGTGCTAATTGGCAAAAGCATAGTGATAAAATGAGTTATTTCAAAATAACTCATTGCCAATACTTAGGGAAAGGGGCTTGATTGTTCTAAACTAATTGTATAAGCTTGAGTTCTAGTCCTTAAGTCTCAATCCTTAAAGAAGAATTTTAAAGCCGTCCTATTGGCTAATAGTGATTAGGTAGTTAATGAGGTTAGTAGTTATTAGCTAGTTGAGAATAAGTGAGATATTGTACAAATATTATTAATATAATTAATATTACTAATTAATTATTCTCTTTCTCTCTCCTCCCTTGATCTTTCCAATAATCCTATCTCTCCACTACAATTAAAAAGAAATATGGAATTCATTTAATTAAATATTATTATTTAATATTTAATAATATTTGAAATTCATATTTTTATTTATTAAAATGAAAATTGAAAATTAAAAATATATACTCTCTCTTCATGAAAAATTGCAATGTAATATAATTGTTTTGCAATGGCGTTGATTTATGAAATGCATCATTATTAAGTTTCATCGCATGGTTTAGGATTTTTCGTTGTTAGGTATTCGTTTATGTTATTATTAATGTTGTTCGACATGGTTTTTCAATAATGTTATATGGTATTATTAAATTTTTTATGTTTCATTTTGTTTGTAACATTAGCAAAAGTGAAATTGTGTTTTTAATTTGTTGGTACTTGAAGTTAATTCATTCACTATACATTTTATTATCAATTTATAATACAAGCCAAATTACGAGCTTGTTTGAATCAGAATGGCACAGGTCATATAGGGTCAAAACCTTTACTCCAAACTTGCAACTTAACACGAGATGGGGTCACGAAGATGGACGAATCCAATCAGCAACTTCAACGCTTGGGGAAGAGGCTAATGGAACACCAATCAACAGAGGTGAGTACTTGGCGTGATCGATCTGCAATCCTTAGGAAGAAACCAAGATCAAAACCTAGATCGCAAGCTTGGGTAATACGACTCTGAGTGACCTTTACATTCAACTTAAAAACATCCCTTTACAATGAATTGGGAAAGGCTTTTATAGCAAAAAGAACTAATAACTAACCTACTTTAAAAAGAAAACAAATTGGAACAGAATTGGTAAAAGAAATCTACTATAATGAGGAATCTTCAAACTCAAGCAATCCTTTTTGCACAAAGGAATACTGGCTTCATGCACACGTAACACATCCAACTTCCACACCATCTTTGAGCTTGTGGGAAATGGTCCTCTAGTTAGGGATGACCATGGGTCGGGTTTTGCCAAACTCAAACCCATGGATTTATCCGTCAAAAAAACCCGGGGTAAAACCCAATAGTTTGGAAAACTCAAATCTAACCCAACCCGCTGGGTATCCGCGAGTTCATAGGTACTCATGGATTTTTGTGGTAATAAATTTACAATGACAAGTTCTCATCAAAATAAAAGTCAAACATCAATTTCTCCATACAAATTATCCATACATAAAACACGAGTCTAGATAATTCAAACAAATCACAAATTAGCCATACAAATTGTAAATTAGATTGGGAGAAATTAGAATTAGGGTAGGTTTTGGAGTGAGTATGCAACGAAATAAGTGTGGGCGGGTACCCATGGGTCGGGTATCCCTAAAACCAAACTCAACCCGGTGAAAGTGTAACGGATTTAAATCCGAACCTGGCTCGAAGCTCGTCAACACGGGTTGGGTCGGATAGGGTACTCATGGCTTCGGGTGTTGTTGCCATCCCTACTGCCGATGCTACCGAACACCTTCACGTGGTAGAGGAAGTGTTCTAGTTTCATCCCCAACTCGCCTATTCTCGTAGTAGTACCTCCTTCTCTACAAATAAGAGTTCAAAGTAGGCATGGCATGCTGCTTCCATGCCTTAGTAAAACACAGACTGTCTTCCTGTATCTCCATAGCTTTTTCCTCGACCCTGTTGGGTACCCTTCCCGACTTCATCGTTTGGATTCCAAGCACGTAGACTTGTAGACAAAGTCTTCTTCTTCAACGCCAAAACTTCCTCTTGCACGACAAAGCTCCCAAAGTGAGCACCAGGGAACCCGTTTTATACTTAGCCAAATTCTGGCCTTCTTCTTGCTACCTTGGTTACCTTCTTTGGCAAGTAATGATTCTCCAATGGCTTGGCCATTTGGAATCATATCATGAGTTCGCAATGCTGTATAATCATTTGAAGTGCTATTATTAATGTTTTTTTCCAGCCACTATACCACAATTTGTAATATTGGTTATATTTAGTGATTAGTATTATTAATATTTTTCGTTTATAGTTTTAATTTTTTCAAATATCATTATCAAGAAGCATGCTAGTTAGGTATTCGTCTGTTTTTATTAATGATGTTCTGCAAGTTTTTTAATAATGTTATATGACATTATTATTTTTTAAATATTTGGTTTGTGTTTAATGATATAACTGTGGTTATTAATTTTTCATTCTAAGTTAGTAACGTAATTAATGTCATTATTAATAAGTGTGCATCAACATTACCAACCTAATACATTATCAGTCAATAGAAAACCTTAAAGAATGAGGGTTAAAGACCGGATTGGACGAGTCTACTTCGCTCCATCTGTTCCTGGCATATCTTTCCACGGATGCAGTTAACGTGCAACAAAATCAATTAAAGTTGCATTAGAGAAGATGGAAATTTCATCAATCCGACCTCCAAAAATTAACTGAATTCCTATTTAACGCCCTAACTTTTCAAAATTTTCGCCCTAAATTAACCAAACGGACCAAAGTACCCCTAATTCCTAAAACGGTCGCCCTCAATCCATTCGCCCTAATCCCTAGCTTGGCTCTGCTCATCGTCCCTCCCAAGCCCGCTGCTCGTCGCCGGCGGAAGATTCCTCACCCATGCCCCCAGCCCCAATCCATCGCCCTAACCCCCCAGCTTCCCTCTGCTCGTCACCCCTCCCACCCCCTATGCTCGTCGCCGGCGGAAGATTCCTCCCTAGCTTGGCTCTGCTTGTCGCCCCCAAATCCCTCTGCACGTTGACGGTGAAATTCTCCTCCGCTGCTGCGCCGCTCAAGGACGAAGAAGAAAAGAATTGCTCTGTTGCGAGTCAGACTGAGTGGTTACTTCTTCCTCCTCACTATCGCTCGGCAGTAGCAGACGATGGAACCCGATTGGCGCACCCAGCAGGCATGGCGGCGACGACGGGGAGGACCGAGCCGCAGAGCAGACGCGCGACCGCTGAAGCAGAGCAATGGATCTTTCTTATCTTCTTCGTTCTTGAGCGGAATAGTAGCGGAGGCGGAGAAAAGAACAACCGGAGAGACAATTCCGCCGGTGGGGATTGGGCCGGATGGGATTAGGGAGATGGCGATGGCGACGTCGACAAGGCAGACCTGGGGAGGTAGCCGCCTCGAGGAATCCCTAGGTCGAGCGGTGCAGCGGAAGGCACTTGTGGCGGCGACGGTGACTCCCGGACGAACGGCGGTGACAGTGAAGAATCCTAGTGCGAAGTTAGAGACTGAGAATAAAAGCGTGTGGCAAAACCGTCAGATTGCAAAATTAGGGCGATAAATTTTAAAAATTTAAGGCGTTAATTAGTAACTCCCAAAATTAAAGACCACACATTTTGAGTAACAAACAAACACGCATTACCCTGGTTTGGAGTTTGGTACAGAGTTTCGTTAGCGCGCCGCGGTGGCAGTGGACCCCACCCCGTACCGTTCCTTTCGTAACCCCCTTCCCTCCCTCGCCTGGCCGCCTTCTCCAATTTATAAGCACCAAGGCTGGGCTTCCCCTCGCTCTAATTCTGCAACAGCTTCTTCTCCATTGCCATTTTTCCACCTTCTTCTACTTTCCTGCCTTTCCATAACTAGTCTCCCTCTGTTAAACCTTGACTCAAATTTTCGTCCATTTCCGTTTTTGTCTCCGTAATCGCTCTTTCAATCAGGGTATCAGCTACCATTTCCTTCGCCGGGAGTATCCATCTCTTGTACCGTATTTCTCTTTCTATCACTCCCCCTGTTTGGTTCCCGGGGAAATCGTCTGGACTGCCAGCTCTCGCGTTTCTGAAGATTCTTCAGTCAGAATTCAGCGGTAAGATTCTGACTTACTTCGGCTGTAGATATATCATATCTTTGTTGTGCGAGACGAGTTGTACCGCTCGTTCATCGTCATCAATCATCTTGTGCTTTTCTCATCCTCTGCAATCATTTTGCTGCCGTATGTCTCTGTATACTCATGAAATTGAGCTGCCTGGCGCAGTTGTTTGTAGAATAGTAATGGCTCATCTGCATAACAATGACCTCGAGTACGTTGTTGATGAGTATTACGACTCCGATGTCGAAGAGGAACCGCAGCTTCAGAAGGGGGACGAGATGGAGTCTCTGGACTCGGACTTTGAAGACGATTTGGAGTTTGTATGCCCTGATCAGAGAGTTCAATTCTTCATTTGTTTGCTCCATGTGCTGTTGTTTTGCTACGATTGGTGTTCTGATGCATGGAATTCGAATCGCTGCGCCTTGTTTTGCTGCAGAACAAGTCCAGCACTGACACAACTGCTGTAGAGTTCAGGAACGGGAAGGATATACAAGGAATTCCATGGGAGAGGCTCAATTACACTAGGGACAAGTACAGGGAGACGAGATTGAAGCAGTACAAGAACTACGAGAACCTCTCTCCCTCTCACGAGCAGATCAATAAGGTTGGTACCTTGCCTAATCTGGTGCACTTCTCTGTATGCAAATCCAGAGCTTCTTCGATATAGAATTGCATGTTGCTGCTGCTAATCAATTCCATTTATATTACTTGCTTCCACTCCAATGGGACTCCTCGGTCAGTAATGATTTAGAACAAATCTTACAATTTTGATTACAGGAGTGCCTTCAAGTAACAAAAGGAAAGACATTTTATGACTTCCAGATGAACACCAGGCACGTCAAATCGACAATTGTGCATTTTCAGGTAGAGGCCTTTATTCCCCTTCCTTTTTTCTTTTCTGCCGTCTGAGGAGTCTGGATAATGATCGAGTTACTAGTGGCCTTGTGCTATTCTTCGGTTTTTCCTTTTGTTTCGCTCCATTTCTTTAGTTTTTTCAAACTTAAATTGCCTACTCGTAATTTTTTCTTGGTTTTTGAGCATTTTATTCCACTTTTATTCGGATTTATTTTATGTTCGTTCGGAATTTAGCACGCTTTCAGTTAATAATTCTCAATTGAGGGTCTTGGAAATGCCTTTAGGCTGCCGCCATAAGGTCTTATGGGACTTGGCACTGCATTTTCTCTACATCAGTGCCGTTGCATTCAATTGGCTATGCATCTCATTCTTCACAAGATTTTGCAGGTCATGCGACTCTATGTATCAGTCTCTCGTTACCCTTATATTTTTTAATATAGAATGCCTGACATGTTAGAGGTATGACCTAGTTCAAATAATACCTGTTATGTTAGTCTTTCAATTTTCTTAATTTTTGTGATGCCCCGATGAGCTGACCGCAAAGTTCCAGATTTGGTTTTATGGCCACCAGTCACATTGCTCTTCCTGGCTTCAAGCTGGTTATCTATGAATTTAGTTCCAAAATCCTTAAAATTTAATTCATATTAGCCAATTTAGTTGAGTTCTGTGTGCTTTCAAACATTGATATTTCAGATGTCAGTCATGGTTTTACATATCCGTGCCATGTTTAACACCGTCTCAAGCTTTAATGTTATGGACGTGCTGAGGTTGAAGAATTCCACACTTAGATTTGGGGATGAATCCGCATTACCAGAGTTTCCACTTTAAACTGAAGCCAGGGTTTTGCTTCAAGCAAGATGTTTTTGATGGCTCTTACGTAGTTTGCCATATTAGGATGCACTACTTGCCCACATCAAATTATCATGCTGCTATAAAGTTTCCGAATCTCTGTTTACTGAGAATGCATCCTATTGACTAAAAGATTTGTTGATGTGGCAGCCGGAGGATTTACATGCATTCCTAATCAACTGACTCTTTTGTCCATGATTCCTAACCTTTCATGTTGACAATCTTCTTTGTGCTGGAAGAAACCTTCTTTCAGTTGCATATGTTTTCTCGATTGCCTCTACCACCCGAGTTGTATGTACTTTCATGCAGTAGCACATACTTTTAATCTGTTTCCTTGATTCTATATATTTATAATGCATTGTAAGTTCTTTCGTGTATAATACTATAACCATTGCATGTTGAATCTATCTGTGGTTTAACCCATCTGTGGCATTTAGAACTTCATCTCTCTATTTCAGCATTATAAGCAGGCTGGAAGTAATATGTGAGCAGCTGCCGGGATTAAGGATACGATATTTCTATGGTATGATAGGAAAATATTTGACAACTCAAGGAGACCTCCAAATCATTCCTTTTTGTTTTCTTGTTTAAAGTTCAGATAGTTTGGAGCGAAGGGAGCTGTCTTGTTTGGTCGACTTAGTTTATTCCCTTAATCTACGGTCTTTCTTGCAAGTGCTAGTTTTTTTATTAGTCTTGGACTCCGCACTTTGCTAGAAGACGACTATAAAAAAACATATTCGTGCTTGATGTCTTCTCTTCGCAACTAAATGCATCCATATATCCACTTTTTATTGTATGATTGTTGGCCCCAAGGTTGAACTTAGAGAGTGGCTAATACTATCATCCTCGCAATAACACTGGACTAACCAGTTGAGGTTTCCATATATCCATTTCCATGGCCGTGATAAGCTTATCACTCTTCTTCCTGTGTGTAGTCTGTGCGATTCTATTTTATATTTCTAAGGGCTACTGTTGTTATGTTGGTAGTCTCGCTGTGATTTGGCTTGGGGCAAACAGTTGTGGATATGTTATTTCTGGTGTTGAATGCTGTCACTGAGGTGTTTGGCAATTGTGTTTTTCTATTGTAATGTCCAGCTGAGGAATCTGTTGTGGGCTACATCGAAGCATGATGTCTACCTAGTGGGAGACTATTCCGTGATGCATTGGTCTGCCTTGCTAAGAAAAGGGAAGGAAGTCCTCAATGTGGCCAAACCAGTGGTTCCGACCTTGGTACAACTAATGGGAGCAGTTTGGGTTAATTCTATCAACTTTCCGATCCTGAAAAAGGGTTAATTTTACTGGCAATTGTTTTGTAAGCAGAAACGTCCAGGGTTGTTCACACAATCACTTTCCCGAGTGCAAATAAGCTCTATGGCTGTAAAAGACAACATATTGGTGGCCGGTGGCTTTCAAGGAGAGCTTATATTCAAGGTTTGGCCATTGATCCATAGCTTTGTTTTTCTTATGTTTTTTTTCTTAGTTTTTTGTCGCCAGTGTACTGCTGTTTGCCTAATTGGGTGTCTCATTGTCCAGTATCTTGATCATCCTGGAGCTGCATTCTGCACCAAGCTGACATCAAATGAAAATGCCATCACCAATGCGGTGGATATCTACAACAGCCCCAGGTGGAGACTATTCTATATGCGTCTGACACTCCAAAATTTCCCATTTTGCCTAGTTAGGTGAAATCTGAATTCCTTATGCCTTCTCTTCTATCTGCATGCAGCGGCTCAATGAGGATTATGGCAGCAAATAATGATGCAAAGATTAGAGTTTTCGATGCCTTGAGTTTTGCCTGCACAAACCAGTTCTCCTTTGATTGGTCCGTAAATGTAAGTCTCCTCTCCTCCTCCTACCTTGAGCAATGCAATGCAATGCAATCTCTCATTTGAACAGACTCGAGAGTAGTTTCCGAGTTGAAATGGTTGTGTCCTCTAACAGAGCACATCAGCTAGCCCTGACGGGAAGCTGGTAGCGGTCCTTGGCGATAGCGTAGAGTGCTTGCTTGCTGATTCGCAGTCTGGGAAGGTAGCTGCTACCCTCAAAGGACACTTGGACTATTCCTTCTCTCCAGCTTGGCATCCGGATGGCCGGATTTTGGCTACGGGCAACCAGGACACCACATGCAGGCTATGGGATATCAGGAATCCTTCCACATCTCTGGCTGTGCTGAAAGGAAACATGGGGGCCATAAGGGGACTCAAGTTCACGTCTGACGGGCGGTTTCTGGCAATGCAAGAGCCTGCTGATTTCGTGCACGTGTTTGATGTGGAATCTGGGTATGTGAAGTGCCAGGAGATTGATCTGTTTGGGGAGATCGCCGGGATATCGTTCAGCCCGGATTCGGAGTCTTTGTTTGTTGGTGTAGCAGATCGTACGTACGGCAGCGTGTTGGAGTTTAGTAGAAGGCATTACGACTGCTGCTTCGACTCCTTTTTTTATTAGAGTGCTAGTGTTGAGTCTAGATTTACGTATGTATGCATGTATGTATATAGAAAGTCCAGATAGTTCACACCAAAAAACAAAAAAAAAAAGTCCAGGTAGCCTCGCGTTTTGGTTGCTTCTTTTCGTTTTCTGAACTATCCTGGACTCTGTACTTGGCTTGCACAAGTTCTCGTTTGGTTCTGTTCCGCGGTTGCAATATGTCTGTGTATTTGTTCCCCAAGCCAAGTGTTTTTGCTATTTATAGCTGCTGCTGCTGCTGCAGGTGTGATCTCCTCTTATCGGCTAGTGATATCTGTTCTAAATTATAATGCTTTTATAAATTATGAAAGATACCTTAGTGAGAATGCGTAAGAAAATTCAAAATCAACAGAGAAGATGAAGTTGTAAATTGATGTAATTCACTTGTATACGACTTAGGTGACAAGTGTTTGAATAACATATTAATTATTAATTAATTAATTAAAAGCACAAGTGACCCAAATTGCGGCTTGCGGGTCACTGTTTTTTTTTATTTCTGAGTGATATCAATTTAGGACAAGAGTTATTCATACAAATCTACCCAGGACCCCTTACAATATATTCTAATGAAGCAACCCCAAAAAATCAAACGATTCTAGCTCTAGACGAGACAAAAGCAGTGCTTTACACGCCACTCTATGGGCAGCACTGTTGGCAATTCTAGGAACCGCCCTAAACTCTATACAAATGGGCAAAGAGCTAAGGATCTGATGACACTCTCGTAGCACCGGACCACCAATCGAGTCTTCTATTAAGCCTTGCTGGATCTGCTTGACGACCACTTCGGAATCACCTTCGACTATAACGTGAGTCAAAGATCTTCAGGTGATGATGGAAATAGCGTCTCTAATGGCTAGGAGCTCTGCCAGGGAAGGGTTGACTATTCCTTGATGCTGTAACCCGAACGCCAATACCACATGTCCGTCTGACCCAAGGACAACAAACCCAGACGAACACCCGGTGGCACAAACAGCAGCGTCGAAATTGATCTTCAAGTGATCGTCTGGCGGCTGGACCCATGTGGTGGTTGGATGGTAGGGAAGAGAGTTGTGGGGTTGGGGAGGGAGGAGAGTGTTTGAGATATCAAGGACCTGGTTGTAGAAATGTCTGGCTAGGGAACGGACATGAGGTTGGTAGAATTCAAAAATCACTTTATTTATAGACTTCCAGATTCTCCAATGTAAGCAGACGCATTGGAAAATGTGGAATGGGGAGGTCTCAGAGACCATGACATGTCGCCACCATAGACTAAAGTTAACAGTCGGGGCGGTCTCAATAAATTTGCTCAATCCCACTAAAGTCAACAATCTGGTGGCTAGGGGGCATCTGAAGAATAAATGTTCAATGCTTTCTCGACTATCCGTTTTCGATTTGAGGCCAAAGCTGATTCATGAGCCAGGTGATAAGCCTATTTGACTATTTTTAAGGAAATAAGAAATCATAGTTGAGGCACTAAGGAAGACTTCATCGTTTGAAATCGTACATGTGATTAATACAATCAATGACATGAATTCTTGGCAATAAAAATGGGACTAAACAATAAATAGGCCAATTAATCGTTACCTACACATATTGAAAAAATTTAATGCAAAATAAATTTAGGACTGAAAATTCCCAATTGCTCGCCAACGGGCAACGACTTGTAACTGTTCCGACAATTAATTGCCAATACTCTCCGACGGTGGAGGTTTTCCGGTGAGTTTGCCGTTTGTGGTACCACACTGTAGACTGTTTCCGGCCATGGTCAGATTCCAGAAGAGGGTCACTTATTTTAATCAAAAGAATTAAACGAGTCTTACTCTCCCATTCGTGGGAGGTTTCCGGCAATAGTGCCGTTTTCAGCCAAATCCATGGCGTTCAATGGTGGTTAAGAGCCACAGTTAGCTTGCTAAGCTTCCGCCCACTTTAAAAAAAACTTTAGTTACTCACTAATTTCTTGTAACGTTTCTTCAAAAGGTCATTAAAACCTCAATAACATCAAATAATTGATGTAATAAAACCCAAATAGGGAATTAACGATACCAAGCGTCAAATCAGTCCAAAACGGACGAATGCGGCCATTAAATGATCATTTTAATGCTCGCCGGACGAGCCGGTTGAGAACCCGGCGCTGGCCGGGTCGAACTCCGCCGCGATGAAGTGGAAGTAGATGTTCTACGGGCAGGACGCGTGCTTGAGGACGGAGTGGACGGCGGCCATGGAGGCCCAGAGGTACTCCGAATCGAGGGTCATGGCAGCCATTTCCAATTCATTCATTCGAAAGCGATCTTTGTTTCCCTCTTTATTTCCTGCTCTCCATAATTTTCCGGGGACACAAACAAAAGAAGAAAAAAGCCCAAAACTTTCCATCACAGAAAAACGGGTCACTGTTGCATACGAGAAAAACGGATCACTTCTTTATTTACCCTAACAAAGCTTATTACTGTTCATTATTGTTTTGTAATCCCTGCGGGTGTGTACATTAGCTGGCGTTAATTAATGTTCATTATTGTTTTGTAATCCCATGCGAGTGTGTACATTAGCTGGCGGTTTACAAAGCATATCTATCTTTTTCGATTGGGACGGGATACGGTGACAACCCCCAAGGGAGTTGTCAGATTCACAACCCACTTTATAGCCCTTGGATATGTTCTCTTTCCTGTTTTTTTTTTCTTTTTTTAAATTAACGGTTAAGATTAAAGGAAGGGTATTTTTGGAAAGGTAAAAATTTACCACACCCAATCATTCACCCTACCATATAAAAAGAAAAAACCATGGATTACAAAACCGTACCGGACATCAAACCGGAATCGTTTTTGGCATGGTAAATCGTGGTACAACCATGGTTCAACCGTTTCCTACCGGCAAATACCGTTTTTGGAATAAAAAAATTATTTTTTTGTTAAAAAACCGTACCGACAAAATTAGGGTACCATACCGAGAAAATACCGGAATAAGACCGGATTATACCGCCCAATGTTTGCGCCTGATCACGCATCAACCACACTACCACCACCAATTTCCTCAATTTCCTCAATTTCAGACTCAATTTCGTGCAGCCCTGGCCCAATCCTTCCACCAACTCATCAAACTTGTACTACTGTTCTTGAGCCCAACCTCCCAAAGTTCCTGATCCTTGCCCACAAAATCACCTTGCCATAATACCTTACTCACCGCTAATACTTCCCCCTCCGCCCCAATCGAGTTCACCCACCTCCAATACCCCAGATTTGCCACCTCCAGAAGCTAACACCGAAAACCTTCCTCCCGCCTCTCCTTTCCCATCCGACTTCCCTTCGTTCTTTGAGCCTTTGAACACCCAACCCAGTTGTCAACCCTCTTTTGACATGGAAATTTTCGACCCAAACCAATCACCCGTTGATTTATTCACCTTGATCTCAAAAAGCCATCAGATCAGCAAAGCTTCAGTGTCAGGGGACTTGAATTGGGTACGCACAGGTGGAGTCTGAAATTGAGGAAATTGCTAGCGGAGAAAGACGAACGAGATGGAGCAAAAAAAAAACACTACCTCTAATCCTCTTTCTCGGTTTCTCCTCCGGCGCGGCGCTGCTGTGAACGACGATGCCTTCGATCGCTGGGGAGGACGAGTCGCCGGTGGTGTTTGGTTGCTGGGGAGGACGCTGTCACCGGTGGTGTTGATCTTTGGTAGAGTTTGAGAGGCAGAGCGGCGCGGCGCGGGGAGACGAGAGACAGAGCGGCGCTAGGCGAGGGAGACGAGAGGCAGAGAGGCCGAAGGTAGGGTTTTTGGCTTTTTGCGTCTCTGCTTCCCTTCCCTTCCCTTCCCTTCCTTTTTTTTTTGCATCAAAACGGCGTCGTTTGCATTAAATGAAGGGACCGCCAGGTTTAATTAAACCGGCCGAAATTTCGGCCCATTGCGGTCCAACCGCAAATACCGTCCGGTAGGTTTTTGAAGGGTACACAGCCCTATTGTACCGGTTTACCTCCGGTTTCCGGTTTTTCCGGTCCGACCGGCCGGTCCGGTACGGTATCCTGGTCCTTGGAAAAAATCCCTAACTCATTCCTCCATCCTCCCTCTCTCCTCCCTCTCTCCCGTAGCCATCTCCACTGTCGGCGTCGGCGCCCCTCCGCCTTCAGCCGCATCTCATCACCTCCGCCTCTCGGCGCCCCTCCGCCTTCAACCGCCATCTCCAACCGCCTTCAGCCGCCTGTCGGCGCCCCTCTCGCCGCCCTTCGTCCCCCACCACTGCCGCCGTCGCGAGGTCACCCACTTCCCCTACCTCTCTCTCCCGTCACCGACTCCCCTTTTCTAGATCTGGTTTTTTAGTGGTACCATTTTTTTCTGGTAGCGTACCAGTGATAGTGGTACCAGTGATAAGGTAGCTAGTAGTGGTAGCGTACCACTATCATCTGGTACCACTATCATCTGTTTTTTTGTGTTATTCTCTACTGGTATCGCTACCAATGCTAGTGGTAGCGCTACCAGTGCTAGTGGTACATTTATTCTCTACTGGTACCGCTACCAATGGTAGTGGTAGCGTACCACTAGTACTGGTACATTTTTTAACGCATTGGTAGCGTACCACTAGCACTGGTATATTAATTACCAGTAGACTAATGGATTGATACACTTTTTAACGCACTAGTACATTTTTTCAGGTTGCCGGAGGGAGTCTGCCGGAGAGAATTCGCCGGAGAAAAAGTCTGTCCTTCGATTCGGAGTGGCCGCTGGAGAAAGGAAGAGAGAGATAGATAGAGATATTAATGTATAGGATTTAAATTTCAAAAAAAAATTGTATTTAATATGGATTTTTAATTCCCAATATAATTAATACACAAAAGATAATTAAGATATTCCTTTTCGATTTATTTGTATGTCTATCTGAATTTTTTTACGATTCTGAATGTGTACATGTATTAATATCTCAATCTTTTTCGATTTCTTCATATTTTAAAGTTTAGCTACAAAGTTTAACTACAATATTCATCATATTATCGAAACAAAGGTTACGTAACATAAGTTTCTACATAAAATTTTAATGATATTTTCAAGGGTAATGTCTATTTTATATCAGATAGACATATATTACGTGTATTTTGATAGTTGTGGATATATTTGTCACAAACCTGATAGTTGTGGATATGCAATGCAACTGTATTTTGCCTTTTTTTTTTTTGAAAAGTTGAGCACGTGTGTGCAAAAGTTTTGAGTTCAAAAGTGGTGGAGAGTCCCGCACACATGTTATTTCTAAAATAGCAAACATTATCGATTCACCAAAGAGGAAGAAGAGAGTAAAATATCTCATACACCGGTACTCTAATCATGCAACTACTCCCAATCGAACACAACACATCAGT